GAAATCACCCCCCAGGGGGGATGGCCACGCCGCAATCCCTTCTCCTCCATTCTCCTCTCGGGATCTTGGGCACGCACGCACACGCGCCCAGCGTGAGTTTAAGCCACCAGGTCTGGGACTCGAACTGTGATCAGCTACATGGGAGTCCAGCGACATAGCCGTTACGCCAACTGCTGGTCCCTCATTCATTTATTTTTAATTTGACAGAGAGAGAGAGAGAAAGAGGGGAAGTGAAAAACTAAACCACCAGGTCCGGGACTTGAACCGTGGTCAGCCAAGTGGGAGTGTCCAGCACTTTAACCACCATGCCACCTGCCAGTACCCCCCACCTCAGAGCCTTTGAATTCTTGGGCCACCTCAGAAGTCCTGCCAAGGCCGCTGGCCCTGGCTGGCAGGGAGCCCAGGACTCCTCCCCATCACATCCCTTTAATGGTTTTCACGTTGACATCAAGGGGGTGTACCAGCCCGGGACAAAAAATGTTAACTGATTGCTATGCTGCCTGCTGTTTCCCTGACAAGGACAATGGGACCAGCAGTTAGCATCATGGCTATGTCCCTGGACTCCCACGTAGTCGACTGCGGTTCGAGTCCCGGACCCGGTGGCTTAAACTCACGCCGGGCGCGTGTGCGTGCGTGCCCAAGATCCCGAGAGGAGAATGGAGGAGAAGGGATTGCGGCATGGCCATCCCCCCTGGGGGGTGATCTCTCGCTTTCTGTCTCTCTGTCTCTGTCTGGCGAGCGCATGCACCCTATGGCAAAAACCTCTCCAAAAAAAAAAAAAAAAAGGACAATGACAGCTTGGTCACTCAGAATCGTCACACCCCTCAGCCCACCTGGCCCCATGGCTGTGGGCGTTTGTCCACACTTGTGGGCACTACGGTGCTCTTCAACCTGCTATGGCTCCCTATTCCCCTCTCCTGGTCCAACCTGCTTCCTGGGCTGCTCCCTGTCCATGGCCAGGTTGTCTGGCTCAGCCGTGGCACCTGTGTGGCAATCTGCTTTGGTTCTTGTGGCTTGGGCAGGTTGCCCCATTATGGTTCGAGTCCCGGACTCGGCAGCTTGAAAGCCAAACCAGGTAGGTGGTGTGTGCGTGCACCCAGAATTCGGGGGGTAAGTTCTCACCACCCCCCTTCACAAGGGGCAGCTGGCTGAAGCCCCCTCCTCCTTGGCATGGTGGTCCCAGCCCGCCCTGCACCCCAGGGTCAACCCACAACCGGGTTAGGACACACAGACACACTGGAGTCGGGCAGCCTGGGCCGCTGGGTTCAGCTCCATGAAATTTATTGTAGGTTGGAAAAAGAAAAAAAAAAAAAAAAAAATCGGCATTCACTTGTTTAGTGTATAAAACGGACACCAGATCTTTTTTTTTAAGAAAATATCAGGAAACCGAAGATGCGGATTACTTCCCATCGTAACATTTTGGCAAAGTGAAAGGTTCTGTAAACACCAATGGCTCAAAACAGTTTTGTCCACAGTATGACATTAAAAATAGGAAAAAACAAAACAAAACAAAACGAACACACACATTATCAATAAGTTAGACCATATTTAATCAGCTAGAACGTTCTGTCGACATCCCCCCCACCCCGAAGCGCAAAATTTCTCTCCACTTTATAATTCCTTTAAAGGAGAACAGACAGAAAAAAAAGCGAAGAAAAAAACAACAAAACAAAACAAAACAAAAAAACGACGAAAAGGCGAATTCAACTGAGCGTCTGTTGTTCTGGGGATAGAGGGGTGGTCCCCTGGGCTGGGACCCCCTTAAATCATCCTTTCCCAGCTCAGTCCTGTGTCCCCAGGGCCTGCTAGGCCCTCCCCAACCCCCTATGAACAATAAAAATAAAATTAAAAAAAAAAAAAAAAAAAAAAGAAAACGACAGCTATTGAGACATAAAGGATCAGTTTCTTCCCAACTCTGGAACCCCAGGGGTTCCCAAAGGAAAGCGACAACTTTGGAGCAGGCAGGACGGTTAGGCGACACCCCCCACGGTGTAGAAAAATAGACGTTTTTGCGCGTTTCCGCTCTCCCTGCGGGGCTCCTGCTGGTGGCGGGTGACCCCGGGGTGACCCCCCAGGCTCCAGTCACCGTCCCCCCTCCGCTGCCACCACCGCGGCATTCCCAGTCATGGCTTCGCTAGGCCCTGAAGTGCCACCCGCCGCCACCCCGCGTCCCGGCGGGTGCCCACGCACACGCACTCACGCACGCACATCCACACACGCATGGCCCCCCCCCCGACGCTTTGGGGAGGCCTAGGCACAGAGACAAAGCAGCAATTGGGGTGTCTGCAGAGCGTGCGCCCCCGAGGTGGGCAGCCCCCAGGCACAGACCTCCAGGTTCCCCGCCCAGCCCCAGGGGCCTGCCCCCAGGTCCCCCGGTTCCTCCCTGAGTGCAAACCCCGGCGGCGGCGGAGGCGGGGGACTCTGCGGTGACACCCCAGGATCCACGCGGTCCCGGGTGGCCAGACGAACAGCAGCAGCAAAGGGAGACTGAAGACACCGCACAGCCAAGATTCCAGGCGGAGCGCCCCCGACAGCAAGGCAGCTCCAGCGGGTGGCGGGTTCGGCCCCCCTGCCCGGCTTCCGCAGCTGCTGGGGGCGGTGGGGAAGCGCCAGCTGGTTCTCAAAATAGAACCTGGACAGGCCGCTGCCCCGGGGCCCAGCCCCTCGGATCTGGGGCCCAGACCCTGCCCGGGGGAGGGGAGGAGGAGGGGAGGCCGGAAGCCCCCCCCCAGGCCCCCCCCCACGCCGACGGCATCTGTAACACTGCAGAGGACATGGCCCGCGCCCAGGGCTGAGGCACGGGTTTAGAAAAAGGATTTTGCTTTCTCTTTTGTACAAAAATAGACTTCAGTCTCATGAGTAGTAGCTAAAAGGGGCTTGTCTTTGTATAAAACTAGAAAAGGCAGGCGGGCGGCCTGGGGTCTCCTGGGGCGGGGCGGGGCAGGCGGCACCGGAGCAGGTGGGCTTCCCCGGAGCCCGCAGGGGGCTGCTCGGGCAGGCGGCCTGCAGGAGCTCCCCTGGGAGCCGGCGTCCCAGTGCCCTGGTGCCCGCGTCCTCCCGTCGGCCCTGGGTCCGGCGTCCCGGTCCCGGTCCCGGTCCCGCTCCCGGCGCTAGGGCCAGGCCTGCAGCTGGCGCTGGTCGAACTCGGCGATGCGCCGCTTGATGTGGGCCAGCTTGCTGTGCAGGTACTCGCAGCGCTGCTTCTCCCGGCTGTAGTTGGTGTTGGTCTGCGGGCCCGACGCAGCAGAGGGGGCGGGTTGGGACTGCGCCAGGGGAGCCGGTGCTGGGGTCCCTGGGGTTCCTCCTTGGGGCCCGCCTCTACCCACCCCTCCCACGACAGACTCACCTTTTTGATTTTCCGATATTCCTGCAAGATCTGCCCCCGGGTGGTCTGGAGGGAAAGGAAAACAGGGAGGAATGCTGAGCGCTCAGGCTGGGAACCCTCTGGGCTGCACCCCCTGCAGCCCCGCTGTGCGGTGGGGGTCGATGGAGGGTGCCTGGCGAGGTGTGGGTGGCCCTTACCCCAGCAGGGCCTGGCCACTGAGGAAGGAGGTCCCTGGGGATGACTGGGGGGGTTGGGGAGCAGCAGTGATGGAGGGAAGGGGTGTGCCTGGGAGGCCCCCAGGGTTCCGACCATCAAGAGCCCTCTGCTCCGGGACTCCCATGTAGTTTACCGCAGTTCGAGTCCCGGACCCGGTGGCTTAAACTCACGCCGGGCACGTGTGCGTGCGTGCCCAAGATCCCGAGAAGAGAATGGTGGAGAAGAGATTGCGGTGTGGACATCCCCCAGGGGAGTTATTTCTTGCTTTCTATCTCTCTGTCTCTCTGGCGAGCGCACGTGCCCTATAGCATAATCCTCTTCAAAAATAAATAAATAAATAAATAAATAAATAAATAAATAAAAAGAGCCCTCTGGTCGGGAAGCCAAAGGGGCCTCTGTCCTCCAGGGGAGATACCCCAACACCCCAATGTGCAAGGCCCAATGCAGGGAGCCAAGTCTGGAAAGCGGTGTCCCGCGGCTGGTGGCTGAAGGCACGGACCCTCTCTCACTCCCCGAGCTCTCAGGAGGAGGGGTGGAGCTGGCGTCTGAGCTGCAGGACCAAGACTCGGGGTGCGGAGCCCGCAGGCACCCCCTGATGGCCCACAGCCTCCCGCCCTCAGGCCCTGGCGGGGGGCCCTCCCCACTGCACCCGTCCCCAGCCCCGGGGCGGGCCCCCACCTCGTACTCCTCGGAGCCCTGTGAGAGCTGGCGCAGCTGGGCGTCGAGCTGCGTGAAGCGCCGCGTGACCCGCTCGATGCGGGCGTGCAGGTCGCGGTACTCGCTGTACTCGGCGTTGAAGTCGTTCTTGTAGCTCTGTCGCTGCTCCGACGAGCAGATGGCAGCGTATTTCCTGAGCAGAAGGGGGACGGGGCGTGGGCTCAGGCTCAGGGCGCCGCCAGCGCCAGGGCCGAGGGGCCAGTCCTGCCTAGGGATTCTCACACAGGGGTGTTGGAGTCGGCCTGGCCCTGCTAACCTGCCGCCCTGGAGGTGGGGGACAGCTGGCTCGGGACGAGGGACCCCCGGGAGCTCCCGGTACTCACAGCAAGTAGTCTGGCGTCTCGGACGTGGACGTGGGCACGCTGGCGCTGCTGCAGGTCCCGTTGACACCTGCGGGAGCACACGCGCTGTCCTGAGCCGGCCACGGGCACGGGGTGAGCCGGGAGGGGGGTGCTGCGGGTGCCCCGGGGGGGGGTCAGGCTTTTTTGCAGCCAGCCACTGCCCATCACTGGGGACTGGCGGGACCCAAGCGCCTGTGGCCGTTGGGGAGCTGGCCCCGGGGTTGCTGGGGGTGGGGTTGGGGGGTGGGGGTGTGAGCCTGCATGCCTTGGCCAGCGCCATGGGGGGGAGCTGTTGTCACCAGCAGGCATCCTGGCAACTGGGGATAGGTTAATTGCAGGGCCCTGGCCGGCAGGATGGGTCCACACTGCACCGGGCTCCTGACCCCGTGGTCCGCACTAACTGAGCATTTAGATGGGCCTGGGTCAAGCAGAGTCTGAGGTCTTCATGGTCTCTGGCCACCCTGGGAGGGTCTGAGCCCACCAGACCTCCGTGGTCTTCCACGTGGTTTTCCACGTGGCCTCTAGGGGGCAGCTCCGGCAAGGAGGGGCTAAGGGGCCACACCACATGGCTGTCCCCACAGTGGAGTTTCAGGACCTGACATCATTATTTATTATTATTATTATTTTTTTTAGAGGTTTTTACTATAGGGCGCGTGCACTCGCCAGAAAGACAGAGAGAGACGGAGAGACAGAGAGCGAGAAATCACCCCCCAGGGGGGATGGCCAAGCCGCAATCCCTTCTTCTCCGTTCTCCTCTCGGGATCTTGGGCACGCATGCACATGTGCCCGGAGTGCGTTTAAACCACCGGGTCTGGGACGCGAACCACAGTTGACTACATGGGAGTCCAGCGACATATTCATTCCGCCATCTGCTGGTCTGGAGTTCAGAGTCTTTAACCACCACACCACCTGCCGGCCACCCTGGTGGCATTCGGTATCCCCAACTCCCCAGCTGGGTGTCTTCGGGGGGCCCCAACCCAGCAAGCACCCACTGATGGGGCCGCATGGACCTGGCTCTGGGCCTGCAGGATATGAAACTGGGCTATCTACAAGGGGTCAGGGCCCCGGGGGGTTCTGGGCAGGTGACTACCAACCCGGGTCCATTTGGTAGATTTATTTAATTGGGACCAGCAGGTGGTGCGGTGGTTAAGGTGCTGGACACTCCCACATGGCTGACCACGGTTCGAGTCCCGGACCAGGCAGCTTGCTTTCTCAATCTCTCTCTCTCTCTCTTGTCTCTCTCTGGTCAAATTAAAATAAATGAATGAGGGAACCAGCAGTTAGCGTAATGGCTATGTTGCTGGACTCCCACTCCCATGTAGTCAACTACAGTTCAAGTCCCGGACTTGGTAACTTAAAACACACCAGGTAGGGATGTGTGTGTGTGTGTCCAAGATCCCAAGAGGAGAATGGAGGAGAAGGGATTGCAGCATGGCCATCCCCATAGGGGTGATTTCTCATTTTCTATCTCTTTCTTTCTAGTGAGCACACATGTCCTATAGCAAAACCCTCTCTCAAAAAAAAAAAAGAAGAAAAAAAAAGAAAAAAAAAAAAAGAAAAAAATAAATGAATGAGTAAATAAAATAAATAATAATAAAAAAGGAATTATTTATTTAATTTTATTTATTCATTCACTTATTTTAATTTCACCAGAGAGACAGAGAAAGATTGTGAAAGCAAGCTGCCTGGTCCATGTGGTCCATGCTACTCCATGTGGGAGTATGTGGGTGCTTGCTGGTCCCCGAGTTATTTAATTTATTTATTCATTAATTTATTTCAATTTGAATAGAGAGAGAAAGTGTAAGAAAGCAAGCCACCAGGTCCGGGACTCGAACTGTGGTCAGCCACGTGGGAGCATCCAGCACCTTAGCCACCATGCCACCTGCTGGTCCCCCCAGGTAGGACATTTAAGCCTCCCCCGATCTCCATTACATAGGTTGCCAAGTGGGGAAACTGAGGCTCAGAGTGTCAGAGTAACCTAGTACCCATGGATCCTCCAAGGTCTGGCCCTGTCGAACCCCACAGCCCCGCGCTGCCCACGTACCGGCTCGGAGGGGCTGGCCAGGCCGCTCTCACTGGGGCCCTGAGAACAGCGCCCGCCTCACCGGCTCCTCTGCCGTGTGGCCTCTTCACAGCCCCAACTGTCCACCTGTCTGTCCTCTGCCCCCTGCTCGGGGACGGGCCCTGCCCACACGCGACCTCCCAGACTCCAGGCAGGACTGGGTGTGTGACACCAGGCACGGCTTTGGGTGTCTTGGCTGCCCTTTTTCATGGTTTTGCTCTATGGCACATGTGCTCACGGGGGGTGGGGCGGGGGGAGAGAGAGAGAGAAAGGGAGAACTCACTCCCCGAGTGGATGGCCACTCCGCAATCTCCTCCACTCTCCTCTTGGGATTTTTTTTGTGTGTGGGGGGAGTGGTTTTGGCTATAGGGCATGTGCGCTCGCCAGAAAGACAGAGACAGAAAGTGAGAAATCACCCCCCAGGGGGGATGGCCATGCTGCAATCCCTTCTCCTCCATTCTCCTCTCGGGATCTTGGGCACGCACGCACACGCGCCCGGTGTGAGTTTTTTTAAGTCACCGCGTCCGGGACACGAACCGTGGTCGACTACGTGGGAGTCCAGCGACATAGCCATTACGCTAACTGCT